TATAATATTAATCCCTACCACATGGGATAAACATTATTATGTTATGAGTAACAACAAATCACAATCTAGGGTTGTAAATGCATTTAATAAGCTAGCACAACACACAGTTATTTATATGGTGCATATTACAGTAGCCTACATGAGTCACACTGGTCAGTATATCCAGTGTTGGGGGTAATATATTACAAGTAACGCAAGTTACGTAATCAGATTACTTTTTTCAAGTAACTAGTAAAGTAACGCATTACTTTTTAATTTACAAGAGAATATCTGAGTTACTTTTTCAAATAAGTAACGCAAGTTACTTTTTTTTTTCAGTTTATTGATTGACAGCTCTCCTGTCCCCATGTTGAGAGAAATCAGAAGATGTTACTGTAGTTCTAAAATAAATATGAATATGCGTTAATTCATCTCACTCACAAAAAAAACAAAACACACATTCAGTATTCCTCAAAATGAATAAAAATAATGCAACTCAGAATATGACGCAAACCTGCAATAATTAAATGTTAAACAACACAAATATCCTTTATGTATTTAATCCCATTCTATTAACCAATGTCTTTGCTTCTGACCTTCGATGATCCAGTTCAACCGTACTAATAAGCAAAAATTACTCTAGACAAACATTTGTGTGTCTTTTTTTATTGCTGAAGTGTGTTGAAATTTCTTCTTCTGCATTCTACTGTACGGACGTAAATTTACTTTCCCTTCAGCCTGAGGCTTATTCATTTCACTTTTGGTGTGAAAAGACTTTTATATTTGCCAAAAATAGAACTTTTTTATTTTAAAATCAAACAAGCAAGCCCTGTCTAGATTTAAAAAGTAATGCAAAAGTAACGTAACGCATTACTTTCCATAAAAAGTAACTAAGTAACGTAATTAGTTACTTTTTTTATGGAGTAACGCAATATTGTAATGCATTGCTTTTAAAAGTAACTTTCCCCAACACTGAGTATATCACGATAATATGATGTGACATGGTCCCTCAGCCTCACGTAGTGGAATACCACTGGTGTCCTGAGGCTTATGAATATTAATAACTTAACGAGACGTTCGAACAGTTGCACTAAAGTATTGGCTGAGAAGGCGCTATACTGCTGCTGGTGAATTTACGAATTCTTAGGCTTATGTTTTTTAAATAGGTGGCGTGAATACCTGCGTAATTTTACGAAGCAACATGGCCATATTAATATTCATGCGCTGCGCTTTCGTCATGGTGCGTCTGGTAATATTGCGCGCGGATGAAGGGCGGGTGTTTATTGCGTCTCGTCACCTGTCATCAAAGGGGTCATATGATGCTGCTAAAAAGAACATTATGTTCAAAAATTAAAACTTGAAAAGCAAGGCATCAGCAGTGTTGGGGAAAGTTACTTTTAAAAGTAATGCATTACAATATTGCATTACTCCATAAAAAAGTAATTAAAAAGTAATGCGTTACTTTACTAGTTACTTGAAAAAAGTAATCTGATTACGTAACTTGCGTTACTTGTAATATATTACCCCCAAACTGGGCATCAGCAATACTGAAACGTTTGTGACATATTCAGCATGTTTAATTCATGACGAGTGGTCTGAATTTGTTTGTCTGGGATGTTCTGGTCTTTTTAGTGCGTGGCTGTAAAAGCTGAATAATACTGTCCTATTTGGAGCATCAAGATATAATGGATACATCAACTTGATTTCTCTTCAAACTGGTCTCTGCTGGTGTTAGATTAATAGGCCAAGCCAACCAACTGGCTTAAAAACTGCACTGCATTGCAATGAAATAATGGAATGACTGATGATTCAAAGATCCTGGCAGACCAGAAGACCTGGCTGAACTTGCGATTGTCACCTTGGGCTTCCTCATTGGAGATCTTGACCTAAAACTCTATAGCAGCTGTTTTTACACATTTTATTTAGGTTCATCTAAACATAATTGTTTATATAATTCCTAATCAGGTTTTTATTTTTTTTTTATTAATCAAAGTATTGTTTCGTTCCATTGTTCTCTGCTGAAAAGCTGAATGCAATAAGTTTAGCCATCATGCCAGAAGAGATGACAATATTAAACACATTATGTTTTATTTGATATAGTTATCATACTGCACCCCCTGGTGTTTGAAAACTGCATTTTAATTAGTTGAATACTTTACAAGAAACATAATTAAGGCAGACTTTGAAACAGAATGTGCTGTTTGAATACTTATATATATAGTAATAATATATATAATTATATATAAATATATATATATTATCATGGTGAAATGAAGTAGCCCAAAAAAGTGCTGATTAAACATGCTGTGCTTACATGTCTGCTTATCTCTCTGCTTAATTTGTCCATTTTAATTGAAATATTCTCTTGAATATTCTGATTGAATCATTTAATTCAATTTAAATCCTTAAATATATTAATAAATATTTAAAATAGCAATATGTTTGGTTTGCATGAAGTTGTTAACTGCTGTAACTGTTATATTAACATTTTAATAGAAAATGACAAAACCAAATTATTGCTTAAAATGTATTTTCAAACATTATTCTATTTTAATAGCATTATTTCTAATTTAATACCGCTGGCAATTCCTATTCAAATTTGAATATGTTCATATCTATATAGATAACTGTACTGATATTGATTAGTGCTGTCATTTGCACTACTGCACACTCACTTCTCAAGAACACACGTTGCAATGAACTTTAATTTGAATAAAAAGGTCATTAATAGTTGAATATAGACTGAATGTGACATAGCAACAAAGACAAGTGAAAACTGAACTCCTCCAACAGTAGAAGGCAAGCTGCAACACAATAAAGAAACATAATTCAGAGTATTAGAAACATAATTCAGAGTATTAGATCAGAAAACTGTGTCCTTGATGGAGGAGCAGTTTTCTCAAAAGCTCACTATAGATAAAATCATCTGTTCAAAATGAATGAATAATTGAATAATGAATAACTAATAATGATCTTAAACCTTCTAACAATCAACTATGGCCTAGTGTAAAAGAGGGTGCCATTTTTATCTACAGAAAATACCTAAAATGACTTGTGTGTCTCCCTTTGCCCCACATTCTTCTTCCTCTGCTGCTAAGAACAGGAACCGGGGCTGTGGTATATTCGTAGCCACAGATCGCACGCACGATGGAGGAGTTCTTTTCCTGCTGTTTTACAACTTCAAAAACCCAACAGATGTCATAAAAAAAAAAAGGTTTTACACATAACGAAATAAACAGAACTGATTAAAAATGTTTTGAATGATTTAGTCACAGGAGATGAAGACTGCAATCATATTAGTAGCTAATACGTTTTTGTTTTGTTTTATTTTGTTTTGTTCAAAGGAAAAGTTCAACCAAAAATGACAATTCTGAAATGAATTTCATTCTGAAATGAAAAATGAAATTTACTCACTCTCCTTGTTCCAAACCGTCTGTTGTTCTTTTTTTTCTGTTGAACACTAGAGAAGATATTTTAAAGAATGTTGGTAACCAAACAGTTGGCGGTAGCCACTGACTTAGGCCTACATTGAATTTTTTTTTTCATACTGGAAGACGTCAATGGCTACCGTCAACTGTTTGGTTACCAACATTTTTTAAAATATGTTATTTTGTGTTCAACAGAAGAAAGAAGCTCATACAGGTTTAAAACAACTTGGGGGTAAATGAGAGTAGCTAAATGACAATTTAAATTTTTGAGTGAATGAATTCATTAAAGGGGTCCTATTATGCTTTTTCACTTTTTCAACTTTAGTTAGTTTGTAATAGGGCAGATATCTTTCACTTGTGGAAGGAATAAGCATTTTTTACAATGGCACCAGTAACTGAAAACATATGGGTGTTTGTGTTTTTTGTGGGTGTGGTCAATAGGCTATAATGACTAATAACTACTTTTAAATTTCATGTGCACTACTAGACACTAAAATTATGTAAAATAAATAAATAAATAAAATAAAATCTGCCAGGGTGTGTGCGTGTGTCGAAAAGAATCACCCCCCTTTAAAATAATCCCATTTTGTTTAAAATAATCACATTCTGAAATGAAGACGGACACAGTTTTTGTTTTATCCAGCTGTATTTACTCAGTGCAATTTATAACATCCAAGTAAAAGATACACCAACATGTAATAAAAAAAAATAAAAAAAAATAAAAAACAGAATCACCAGAAAAAAAGTTAACGCAATATTTATGGACACATTTTTATAAGAAAAAAAGTTTTTTTTTTGTTTTAAAATTCAATTTAATGTTGTAGAATTAGGAAAATTACTATTTGGGCCTTTTATAAATAAAAGAAATGAAATATTACCAAAATAAAAGTAAAATAAAATATTTTGATTACACAATGATACGTGATGGAAAAAATACACTGACTGTTTCCGACAATAAATGATTTTCAGCTATATAAGACAGAAATTATTATATTGTTATGGCCTATCTTTAGTGAGTAACAAATTACTAAAATAATTAAAAATATAACCATTTGAAAAAAGCAGAAAAAAATAATGAGTTTGGACACCAAATGCACCTGCAATTACAGAATCTCCTCTTTACATCTGTAATCTCCCGCCTTCCTCTCAGATAATGCAGCGGCCGCTTTACCGTAACTAAAATAGAGGAGCGCACGTAAAACGTTTTGTTTTAAGTGGGAGTCAATGTGCAATAAAATCTAAATAATAGCCTACGCTCCACAAAAGTAGTGCGTAACTAGATATAACAGGCAATAACAGTGGCTATAATCTACTAAAGAGTTTCAATGAATCGGGTCATTTATGCGCGCAACTTGCCTACAAAACTTCGGATAACAAAAACCGCAAACGGCTCGGTTAAATTACACTGAACGTTAAAGCAGCGTTTTACTTAGAAGTGTTTCGTACTGCTTGTTTCTGGGTTATGTTCGCAAAACGTTTTCATATTTGGGGCAAAATGGCGCAGTGGTCGTTTGGGGAAGATCCTCTAATGTGCTCGTGGACCATTTGGACTCCTAGTGCGACTCGACTAAGTGGAGTACGGTACAGCATACGGAGGGGTGTAAACATCCACGATGTGTTTCGCGAGAAAGGGGTAGCTGTTCATTTCGAGGCAGTTGTTCTGGAGGACTTATGTATATTTAACACTATTTTGGGAGGTGGGAAGAGGAAGAATGAAAGAGGTCTTCCAACAGAGCGGTCGCAATCATGAACGGTGCCCTGTACATTTCGTTTTTCCAATGTCAGCTGGAGTCCGCGCTGGAGCAGGTAGTGCAGCTCGCCGTGCAAGAAATCACCAAGACTGCTGGGGCCACTTTGAATTCAATGCTATTGGAAACGGCCACCAAAGAGCAGGAAAATCAGCGTTTGAGGGCTACCCTCCAGTCTCGGGGAGGGAACGGGAAAAGCAATGCGTCTAAAGGAAAAACAGACACGAACGATGAAACAAAGCAACACCGCCCCGGTCCGATCCCGGAATGTGGCGTTCAGTCCGAAACGCTCAGGCGTGAACAGAAAGCGCGGGCAGTTGGTAAGGCTATTTGTGTGCAAACGGTGTTTTCATTGAATGGAAATGAACAAAACGTGTTGGGGATCGTGTTCAATAATCTGTATTATTAAAACGCTCGTGTTTACACTGCAAATCTGACTCTATGGCTTGTTGCGCAGTGGCGAGGTTGATAAAAACAAGGGTAAACACCATTTTGGACGGAAGGAGGAAGTCATAATAAACCTAACGTTAGTCTGCTGTGGCACGAATGACTCTGTAGTTAAACCCAAACCATGCCCTGATGGAAAATCCAGCTTTAGATGTAACTGTGTTTTGAAACATGCTATGTGGTCTAAGTTGGCCATTAGCTGGTTGACTAGTTCCTAAAACCAGCGTGACCAACCGCTTTCTTGCTGGTCCACCAGTTAGCACCAAGTTCTTAGACTAACTAGAGACCATCTACCATGCAATACACAACTACTAGAATATGCTGAATTATTTAATTTCTAAGTCTAACTTATTTATTTCTTCAGCTCATATAATAATTAAGATAAACTGGTCCACAGAACACTGTTGTTGTTTTTTTAACCAATCATTTACTCTTGGAGGAAGTGTGCAAGTCTGCATAATTCTTCATGGGAGACTGTAGAGAAACAACTCATTGTTTTAGACCGAATGTTTTGTCTTTGTTGAGTGGAATTGTATGATTGGAGGAAGTTTTTGATGGCTGGTCTTTGAAATGAATCTTAGCAGTCTTCAGGCCTGTGTGGGCATGTATTCATAGACCTTTTAATGTTTGGACTGGAGTTTGGCTGACTTGTTATGACTGCTGCCAATGGCTAGTTTGGGTGATGACACTTCTGTCATTGAGGTGCTTGTTAGCGCCATGGGGAGGGTGCCTTTGCATTGCATTTTAACCAATAGAGGTGGTTAGAGGAAGCCACACCCCCTGATTTGGATTACCTCAGAGCCACTGTAGAAAATGGAAACAGCAAGGGCTGATATAGAATTGGAGGAAGACCCAAACACGCTCTATTAAACTAAGCCCATGGTTAGGGTTTGATGGGGGAGTATCATGAGAGTCTTCATCCTACATAAGCAGAAACTGCAGCCAAATCACAAAGGAGCCCAATGATCTGCTTTGATGCCATATGGCATGTCAACATGCACACAGAGGTTTTTTTTTTTTTCTTTCAAAAATGCACAATTTAATTAGTTAGATATAGATGCGGCACTAGAATTAAATGAATCCAGATCAGATATTCCCATTCAGCACATCCTCACAGTTACACATGCTTCAAAATTGCATTTAAATAAGTAAATCATTATTAGTTTCAATTGCAGCTTTCTTAAAGTCCCAATCAGGGCTCAACAGTAAGGATGGCCATTGTGAAAGAGTTTCAGCAGGCAATGCAGATTTGTGATAGTTTTGGGAGCATCAGAAAAAATGTGTTGGAAAAAATACAAATCATAGATACAAGCTTTCACTTTCTCTCAAAAATTATTTATGGAGTTGGAGTTACATTGTAGTTTTCAGTCTATTGCAAATTATTTTGTAAAGCAACAACAAATATATTTGTGGGGAAAAATGTAAAGAAAGCTTGACATTTAATGAAAAAAATATATAAATATAAAATATAAATACAAAAATACTTTGCAAAAAATGAAAATTGATCGGTTTTATGTTCAGAAAAGTATTCTTATATTTGCTATAAATAGTAGTTGTGTTGAACTTGAATTGTAAATAACTTTTTGTCATGTTTTTTGTGGTTAGTGCAGTGAAAATGTTGGGCCAGCATGAAAAAAAATCTTATTGTTGACGTTTAAATGCATTTTTAATGCTTCTGAATGATTCATTAGTGCACATTATTCCAAAGAAATAAAAGCCACCGAAATGACTTTCCTTTGTGATCAATGTCACAGAGTCCTCTTGCTTTTCAGCCTCTCCTGTCATTTAGAGACCACTTTACATGATCCAATATATTGCGAAAGGAGGATAAAATCAAGTCATGTCCTATATTTCTTTTTCTTGACTATCCTGTTTCACTCTACAGTGCATCACATTACAGAAGTAAAATGGCTTGTGAATAGCATTTCATGTTGTTTAAAAAGTGTTGCACGTTTTCATCATGTATTAGCCAGGGTGGCAAATTGTAAGAATAAAATATTATTAGACAGCATAGTTTGATATTGACAGCTAGTGCATTTAATAGTTTAATGACCAAAGATCAATATGCTATATTGACATCAACCTAATATGTTTGCCGTGGCTGAATTTGTGAAATTCTTAACATTAATTCTTAATGAGGATTTACAATATCCTTTTCCAGCATCACTGGTTTTATTTTTATTTTCAGTTTTATTCTATGTTGCATCTGCCCTGTCCTGCAGTAATATAATATTTTAGACCATTTTTTTAGATTGCAAAAGGAACTCAAAACATATTTGTTACCAATAAAATCTATATATTTGTGTATATTTGCTAGATATTTGTAGTAATATAAATTTAGTAGGAAAACTTGACCACTTTGACTTCTGTTACTATATCAGCTTTTGCAATTAGGTGTTAATATTGTTCATATTTGAAGTATGCTTAGACAGTAAGGCATTTAGGGACTTTTAGATGTGGTCTTTCAATTGTCTGATCAAAATGTGCTCCTTACAGTCAGGGAGGAATGGAGAGGACTGCATGCTGTGCATTTTAAAGGCTGTATTTCTGCAGGGAGGTGCATTTCGTATGAGTTACAGGCAACGCGTCCAAATCAAAATTCAGACCTGCAGCACTTCCTTCTGATTTGAATACAAGCCACTGACACCCCGTCACTATGAGAAGTGCTGAGGTAATTACCAACGGTTCCTCTTCTTTCCTAAAATTACCTGTCTGCACAACAAATTTACTTTCGGGTATTAATAATAAAGAAACCTTGAACCTTGAAAATACAGATTTTTATAGATGCCTAAACTTTTTAAAACTTCAAAATGAAAAGGTTCAGTATCACTTTAAAAGTCATACTTTGACAGTTCGTTGAGAGTTTTGTGTCACATCGGGTTTAAATTTAAATAAAAAACAAGATAAATTCGTTCATTGGTATGTCTCATTTTGTCAACGTGGTGTAAAACATTATGTCTGATCTTAAGATTTCATTCAGGATGTTAATTTATGATTTTCAATAAATGCATTGTATTCTTTTATTAGTTTTGCAGGATTTTTTAACAAAAATTTATTTAATTGGTTTTGCATGTGACCATCATAAGTATGTAAATAAAATATGGTAGTATGCAAATGTTATTATAGGTCAGGCCTAAAATACACCACTCAATTTTATACAGTCCATCAGTTCCATTTCTGCATCAACAGAAACGCATTCATAGTGGCATTTTTCTTAGATTGCCTTCAGATCTTGATCTAGCGTAATTGAGGCTTTAAATCTGAACTTTTGCTTGCTGAAAGTAGGGAGCCAAGCAAATTGGTGTGATTCTCATAAATGTCAGCCAGCAGCCTTATTTTGTGCCGTTCTCTGCAGTGGATGCCGCAGAGAGACATTAGACAACCTACAGGCAATAACTACCTGTTTGTGTCACAAGAACTTTACAGATGGATTTTTCTGAGTAAATAATATCATAACGTCCCCCATTTTGTCTCCATTTTCAGGTCAGTTAAAATCTGTTATGGAGCACGTGCTGGAATTCGCCGTTTATGAGCTGACTAAAATTGTGGAAGACAGCTTTGACGACCTGCTCTCGGAGTTCACCAAGAAGGAGTGGGAAAACCAGATATTGAAACGGCAGTTACTGGACAAGAACATAGTGGAGGACAGTGATGTGGTTGCTGTGGAAACGGAGGACCGCAAAAATGACTCTGCCTCTCCTAGCAGTTCCAGAGTAGAAAAGCAAGAGTGGAAAGGCCTGCAGGGCCACTCACCCAAAAAAGAAAAAACTGAAACCACAAACGGTACAAACTGTTTTATTATCTGTTAGTTGATAATTAGAATGTATGTACATTACCGTTAAAAAGTTTGGGGTTTGTAAGATGCTTTTGAAGAATCTCTTATGCTCACCAAGGCTACAGTTATTTGATCAAAAACAGTAATATTGTGAAATATTATTAAATGTAAACAATTACAATTTTTAATTTTAAAATATTTTAAAATGTAATTTATTCCTGTGATGCAAAGCTGAATTTCCAGCATCATTACTCCAGTCTTCAGTGTTTATTATTATTATTATTGTATATATAAATATTATTATCTATGCTGAAAACAGTTGTGCTGCTTAAATTTTTTTTTTTTTTGTGAAAACCTCTACACCTTATTTTTCCAATGCGGAAGTAAGCTGTTTTCTTTGAATGTGTGAGACTTCCGGTTCATTAGCCGCTGTAGGGAAATAACAAGAAGAATAACAAAGTACAGGAAATGGTAAAACTGTTTGCACTACAAACCAGTGTGTCCAGAATTAAGATAATACATTAAAATAATATGGTAAAACACTCCAGTTTGTAATATGAAGCAGCAAAACAAGCTATTTTTTTTTTTACAGCTTTAAAATAGCTGGAAGTCTTTTTTTTGTTTTGTTTTGGTAACATTAAAAAAAATCTTTAGTGTCACCTTTAATCAATTGAATGCATCCCTGCTGAATAAAAGTATTAATTTCTTAAATTAAAAAAAAAAAAAAAAAAAAAAACTTAAGGACCTCAGTAGTGTAAAGTTGGATAGAATCACTTCTTTTTGTGGAAAGAATTGACTCCAAATGAATTGTGCCACTGATAGCATTGTTTATTTGCATGCACTGTCTGTGTTGTTTTAGCAATCATTTGGCTAAAAGAATTATGGAAACCAGGTAACTACAAATCCAATTTGTTTGGTGCAGTTTCCCAACTTTCGGGCTGGTTCTGAGTGCTCAATTACTATTGTAATTTGGCTTATTTTACTGTAACTGTCCATCATTGCTCTACCTGGCACCTGAAACGTCTCTGAATGAAGTTTACAATGTTCCTATATTTTTTATTGGGTGTCAGGCTGGATATGCAGCTGTTCTTGTGATTTGGCTCCTACGATCAATAGAAAAATGTAGACAAACATTAAATAAAATTCTGTTTAATGCCCACTTTCCATGGGCAGAAATCAACTGTAGCAGGCTTTTGAGAATAAGATGAAATCTAGATGAAATTTTTCATAGAAAGCATGTTTGTGCTGAAAAATGCCAGTGAGTTCATTTAAATATGGCTGGTGTGGCGCTAATGTTAAAAAGCTTATGTAAAATGGTGAGTGTTTAGAATAATATGCCCAATGTTCAAAGATAGTATTACACCAAAATGAAATTTCCCCTTTTATTAACACATGTTGGCACGCCATCTGTTACCATCTGTTCTTTGGGTTTCATTCAGAATTCTATTTTTAAGCTGTTATGTAAAAACAAAGCAGACCAGGCCAATGATTCGGCTCACAATAAACGTCTTGTTTGCAGACAGATATTGCCTGCATTGCAGGTAATTATTGAATAAGACCCAGGTGCTTGTGCTGAAGTATGGTCTTGTTTTTCAGTTATTATAACAATTTAATTTAATTCTAACTAGCTTTCAAATGCGAAAATCACTTTCAAAAGCGAATTCTACATTATTTACAAGTGAATTGCAATCAGCAAACAAAGGTCAGTTGGCTTTCCAATTTAGTTTAGTGTATAGCTCTATAAATGGAGTTCATTAAACCTGAAAAACAAGCCATTGTTTTTCATTTCCATCTCTACAATGTTTTTTTTCCCCCAACAGAACCAGACAAGCAGACTGTCATTGCAGTGGCTCAGAACTGGGTGCCCATCCTGGACAAAGTCTTCGGGCAGAAGTGGTGCAGTGACCTCTGGCAGATCAAAGAGGTCACCACCAGTAAAGAGGAGTGCACCGGGCTGAGCTCGGGCTCGGTGACCGACATGAACAGCTTAATTCGAGAGGCGCTCATGCCGTCTTGCCTGGCCACTCAGAGGAAGCTGGAGCTGGAGGTGGGGCAGCCACCATGGTTGCCACTAGACGATATGGAGGTTGTTTCTCTAACCTCTGAGACTAAAGGCGTTCCTGTCATCAGCTCTACAGGTAGGCTGAGCTGTGCTGATGATCTAGTGCGGTCAGTGCTGGGTTATCTGGTTTACGTAATCAAATTCCAAAAATTAAAGGGGTCATATGATGCTGCTAAAAAGAACATTATTTTGTGTATTTGGTGTAATGAAATGTGTTTATGTGGTTTAAAGTTAAAAAAACACATTATTTTCCACATACTGTACATTATTGTTTCTCCTCTATACCCTGCCTTTCTGAAACGCGTCGATTTTTACAAAGCTCATCGGTCTGAAAAAGCGAGGTGTGCTGTGATTGGCCAGCTATCCAGTGCGTTGTGATTGGCCGAATACCTCAAGCGTGAGGCTTAGCGTGCGCTGAGGCCGGGCTAGCGTGAGCCGAAGCCCAGGGTTAGCGTGCGCTGAGGCCGGGATAGAGTGAGCTGAGGCGGGCTGGATTCCGCTTCGTCCACGGTGAAAGTTGACGTATTCCCTCAGCGACCAGCACAGATCAGCTCTAGGCATGACGAAGCGGATATCGTCCTCATTTGGAAGACCAAACAAAGTAGTTTCGCTTTCACAACGAAGCACACAGCGTCTTCACGACATGGCTGCAGCGTCAACAATACTAAAGTGAGAATAAAAGTTACGCCTTCTTTCTTTGCGTGAACATTTGGGCGGCGTTATGCAAATCTTCCCACATAGTGAGGTAGATATGTGGGGGCGTGTTAGAACGAGCCGTTTTAGGTAGGTGTGGCCGACTCTTAACTTTTATAAAGAATATCTCTTTGGATTTGAGACTTTAGTCTTTGCAACTTTACATATCTTCTTTATGCACCAAGAGCTTGTAACACTCCAAAGAGAAAGGAAAAATTGAAATCGCATCATATGACCCCTTTAAGTATTTGTACTTAGAATATATTACATTTTAAAAATGTGAATAATCAGATTACAGTTACTTTTTATTGATTGCATATTAACACAATGGCAGTAAATTATGCTCCCTAATTCTTTTTTCACTTTTAAGTTTTGTTTTCTAAAAATTCTACTGTGTGTCATACTATTTAGCTTTGACTATATTCAGAAATGACTTGCAAATAAATTTGCAAACCATGTTTCTGAATAATTTAATTGTTTCTTTATAATTTAGCAACACATGATTCACATGTTTACAGTTATCTGATATCGGTTAATGGTCACATTGGCATGCAGGTAAACAAATAAAATGTTTCTATTTTTAGTGTTCAATTGTTTAAATGATTTTTATTTTACATTTTTATGATTTAATTAATTATTAGATTTTCATTAACTTACAAAACCACCGCAGTTCCTACATTAAGCCCAGTTTGGGAAACCCTGGTGTAATGTAATGTTTAATGCATTTTATGTTGTTAATGTAAAAAATTGAATATATTTGCTTTCTCTTAGCTTTTTTAATATCAATATGATATGAATAATGGTAAGTTTAAAACAAATTAGATAAAAAAGTAATCTAAAAAGTAGTCAGAATACATTACCCAAAATGAGTAACCTAGATTATGTTACTAACAACATAATCATGTAATCTGTAATTAGTAACGGACTACAATTTGTAAGTAATCTACCCAGCACTGAGTACGGTTATAATGTCTTTGTGTATGCAGGTGATGACTCTCAAATCAGATCCCCGTCAATGTTGCAAAGACTCCTGACGCTCCCTTCCCAGCTGCTCGAGGATGACGATGAGTCCATGGATGCCGTTCCCAGTCTGGAAGTGTCCAAAGACCCAGCTGATCCGCAAGACGGTAAGGGCTCAAAGAGTGACCAGATGAATAAGAAAAAGGACGAAGAGGATGAAGACGAGGAGGACGACGAAGATGATGATGAGATGACGAACAGGACTGAGTCCTTGAAACACAAAGGTAGGAGAAAATCCCATGCTTGCAAAGAGTGCGGCAGGAAGTTCAGCCGAGCGCATCTTCTCAGAGCCCACCGACAAACGCACGAGGAGACACCCAACCGATGCCCACAATGTGGAAAGAGTTTCTCCCAGTCTTCAAGGCTCCAGGCTCACTTACGGACACACACGGACAAAACGATATGAGAAAATTCAGTAGAATAGGAGGAGCGGTTTTCCAGTGATTATTGCTTCTCGAAGTGAGTGGAACTTTTTCATTGCACGTACTGGTGAAGTAAATGCAAGAAACGTGTCACCTTTTTTGCTAGTTTGAAGGTACACTGAGGTAAACGGATTAGTCATCTGACATGATTTAAAGGGTTAGTTCACCCAGAAATGAAAATTAGGCTGTGTTTTACTCACCCCCGAGGCATCCTAGGTGTATATAATTCCCTACAGGAGGCCTTTGTTCACCCTCCGGAGCCGTGTGAGACACTTTTTGTTTTATGCATGGGCGCTTTTTATTTCACTTCTTTTGGACTGAAGCAATGAAACACCCGCTGACTGCAATGATGGATCTTGAAAGATCAAAGACAATTTTTAATATAACGCCGACTGGATTCGTCTGAAAGAAGAAAGTCATATACACCTAGGATGCCTCGGGGGTGAGTAAAATGCAGCCTAATTTTCATTTTTGGGTGAACTAACCCTTTAAGATGTTTTTACCTCCATTTCGTTTCCCAAATTTGAAGGATTATTGGAAGAAACAAATACCAGTAACAACAAGCTGTGTACGCTGTGTAAATATCATAGTAGGGCTGTATAGACCATCACAATAAGAATCGAAGAATTTCCTTTTTCCATTGGGTGTTTTTTCATAATACAGGTTTTAATAGATCATAATACTTTGTAAATATTTTCAACATGTTACATGTTGTGGAAAAGGTGGTCCCTAGTTGACAGGTCCCTTGCAGCGTGCTGGTCTTGTTTCTTTTTGCAAACCTTTTGAATGTGATCAAACGAACCAGAGATAGTGTAAAGCGCCTCCTGTGATCAAATCAACCAGTTTTTAATATGTCCCTACTGACTTAGTACTCAACATTAAATACCTCTTATGTTCAGATGTCATACTGGATTTTTATATAATTAAAGTCTCGACGTACATGTCAGATTTGAGATGTTTTCTTCAACATTTCGCCATGGATCGAGGATGGCTTACAGTTTTTGACTTGAACTTGCACAACTGTCATCAATTGCATGACGTGCACAACCAAGGAGGTCTTCAAGAGGAATCTGAAGAGGAGATGATGCTATGACAAGAAAAGTGCATTGAAATGGTTATTGGAAAGAAACTTGAAGCTCCTAACTCTTCATATTCTCATTTCAGTGACTTGAAAAGAGGATCTGACTTCCTTAGTATCCTCAACTTGGAGTAGCGTCTTCCTGTACTGTTTGCGTGAGGTTTTTGCATACATCTTGAACTTGGAGAAATGCCCAGTTGTGAGATTTGGTTTTCCCAGCATCGGTGGCGTGCATCTGAATATGGATCGTTATCTACCATTTCCAGAGAGGCAGACGGATTCTGCACTTACAATTTACTCCCTGTATCGAAAAGATATAGGTCCCACCTGTTACGCACATTCCCACTCTCGACCCTGAAGTTTTACAATATCCCTGTCCGTAATAAGCATGATGGGGGGGGGGAGTACAAGGTGTTACTGTTACTTATTGGATCAATACCTTATCGATGGGACCATATCTTTTCGGGACTTCTGCAGTATCAGGAGTTAAGGTCCTGCACAAAAAAAAAAAAGTTTACAAATGGAACGAGACCGGCCAGTTGGCGTGCTTATTATTTGATTGTGCATTTAAAAATGTGGCTTATTTTGTTTTACGCTACCTAATGTCACTGTAGGAAGGTACCAAGAACTTGCAACCCAAAGATTACAATGAAGGGAAATCTTACATACATTCACCATACATTCTCTTATAGGATTGTATTGCTTTTTTTAAACAATATGGGCCATTACATTTTACATTATGAACCCTAAGCTTCTTTTCAGATGTATTGAGTATCTTAACTTCATTAGTAGACTATAATGAAGTACTTCATCTGTTTAGTGCCTAGATTTAACCGCTCAATAAGCTGATCTTATAGGTGGTGGTGAGGATTGAGAGGTTAATTTGTTGTTTAGCACCCTGCCTTTGTTAAGAACTTGCCAGAACTCCTTCTTTCTTGTGCTTAGTGCTTTGACCAGAACAGTCAACTCTAGATATTGTACTAGTTCTCTTTAATTATGTTACGGCTGGTCAGATCTGACTTCTGTGTAATTACTAATGTTAAAATAACTCTGTATGTTTCATCGATTCAGACTGCTGGGAGCAATACCGGAAAGGGATAGTTCACCCAAAAATGAAAATTCTCTCGTCATTTGCTCATCCTCAAGTTGTTCCAAACCTGTTGAACTGAAAAGATATTTTGATATGTTGGTTACCAGACAGTTGCTCGTGTCACATACCAGCAACTGTTTTGCTACCAACATTCTTCAAAATATCTTAATTTTGTGTTCAACTGAAGAAAGAAATTCGTACAGGTTTGGAACAACAAGAGGGTGAGTAAATGATGACACAATTTTCATTTTTGGGTGACCGGTCTCTTCAAGCTAATTACAGCTCATAGATCCAAAAGACTGAACACGAACTGGTGATATTAGAAAGAGTGACAATATCGTGGTATATGTCCATTTGTTCTGGGTTACAGTAAGCATTTTAAATGAATATTGAAGGACTTGAATTTTGCATTTGACTTAATGCAATGAAACGGCCCCATGTACACCCATCTATTTATGACCATGAATTAAAGAATCTTAGCATGTAAAATCGCTTTGGGCTATTCAGTTAGTACTGGCGAATGTGTGATGCAGTCTCTTGTAAAAACGACATTGCAACTTTGCGGTATGTTTGTTTGCGTGTGCAAACAAACATACTGCAGTCACTGACTTTCCTTGAAGTGCATCATGATGATAACTCAATTGGCCGTCATTAATACCCTGCACCTGTTGTTTTATTATTTTATTGTAACCTTTTTTTTGTGAAGCAAAATGAACAGCAACTTTTTGTCAAACAGTCTTGACACATGAGCTTTGTGATGCAGTCCAACATTCGCCCGGAGAACTGCATTATTCTAATGAACTACTTGAGCATTTTGCTGTTTTGTTTTGTTATGCATGATGACTCCTTTTAGCGTTTTTATTACTTTTTAAGAATCTGCATTGTCATGTATTGAAAAGAACACTTGTTGTAACAGACCAATTGGATCAACTCTTTTCCATGGATCATGGTTAGTAGTTCTGTTACTGCTTTGTTACGGCATAGTAGCTCTGAATGGATTATAGAGTTCAGCATTTGACCAATATATGCCAAATATTACTTTTGTACCATTTTCTTTTACTTTGTTTTGTTTATTTTTTACTCCAGTATGTATTTTGCACTGTTTTCCTGCTACTCCGCACATCCATACCTCAGTTTTGTTGGTATTCTGAAAGCATTGCTTAGTTCATTACCTCAGGACTCATTCACATAGTTTTAGCATATTTATGGCGAAAGTAGACAAATACAAGAGCTCTGTTAAATTTGGGTTTACATTCAGTAATATTTTTTGTTGAAATAAACATCTATACATTGGGGAAAAAAAATAAGTGATGGGGTGATTAATGAAAACTCTCTATTTAATTAATATCGTTAATTTACAGAAAATGCACATTGTGATCCAGGTAATTATGAACCACATAGAAAATCAATACTAAATCTTTTCCTTTAAGTGTTGCATAAAATTTGGTCAACTTTCGAAAGTTGTTTTTATAGGGAAGTTTGTATGTTTGTTTGGTTGTTTTTCATCTTTTAGGAGTGCCTGTTGTTGTAACCAGCATTTAATTTCTTCTTCTTTAAAAAAAAAAAAGATTTTACCTATCACTGAAATGTCTTTTAATGTGACTGGAAGACGTTGTACATTTCAATTATGGCAATACATTAAAAAGGTGTAATATTGCATCGATTACATGCTTTGTCATTTTTAGTCTTGAATTGTATCATCCATAAAATCTGCTTGCTTCATTTCTACCAGTGCAACAGTAGAGTTGGGTGTTTACCTCTCAGATGAGTTTCTGAACTCAATGGATTCTGGGATCGCTAGAAATGAATATTTTTCTTAAACCTGGATGCACAGATGTGCAAAAGGCAACCAATTAAAGGGCCCTAAGGTTTTTTGGCTTTCTAATAAATTCTACAGTAAAGTCCTCCAGCTAGATTCCTGTTTGATGCTATTGTTGATGTTCTGAGCAGTAACAGCTGTGTGACGCTTGCAGTTTGATTCGTATCAGTTGTGGAAATGGCTGCACACTGCAGTGTGTGAAGCGCACCTTCACAGCAAATGAAATAACATACAAGATGAATGTACAGTGTATGTGCTCCTATTTTGTTTTTAAATGAATATTTTACTCAAAAATGTAAATGCCATCCAAGATGTAGATGAGTTTGTTTCTTCATGGTAACAGATGTGGAGAAATGTAGCGTTGCATCACTTACTTCATAATAATGGATCCTCTGCAGTGAATGGGTGCCGTCAGAATGAGAGTCCAAACAGCTGATAAAAACATCACAACAATCCACAAGACTCCAGTCCATCAGTTAATCTTGTGTAACAAAAAGCTCCTTGTCTGTAAGTAACAAATCCATCATTTAGTTGTTTTAACTTTAAACTGTTGCTTTTGGCCAGAATACAAATCCATAATCCATAACGCTTTGTCCAGTAAGAATATCCATCACCTGTTGTCCTCTCACATCAAAATCCATTGACATATTGACAGAACTGTTTTGAACTGTTCTTGCTTGTAAATTGTGCTTGATCTGCATATTTCTCTCCTGATTCAGACGAGACTGCTTTTTTTTTTTTTTTTTTACTAGAGAAAGCATTATTATGGATAGAGGACTTGTATTTTAGTGGGAAGCAGCGGTTTGAAGTTGAAAATGTCTCGATAGATTTGTTTCTTACGAACATGCAGCTTTTCTCTTCACAAGACACTGGAGTGGTGTGGATTATGATGTATTTATCAGCTGTTTGGACTCTCATTCTGACGGCACCCATTCACTGCAGAGGATCCACTGGTGAGCAAGTGATGTAATACATTTCTCCAAATCTGTTCTGATGAAGAAACAAACTCTTCTACATCTTGTATGACCTGAGATTGAGTACATTTTCACATTTAAAATTTTTGGATGAGCTATTCCTTTAATAATTATAACAATTACATAAGACTATTTTCCTTAGTCAAAAGCCAATTTAAATCCTCTGCGTTTCAGTGTTGTAAACAATAAAACATGGAAATGACCAAATGGTGGTCTAAAACTGTAATGGAGACAAGTA